CAACTGATCCCATGGGGCCCTGGGAGCCCTTACTGGTGCTAATACTGGTGCTAAACGCAGGGAATGGATGGGAATGGGGGTTGCTGGGATGATTCTTGATCGTTATTGTGGATCATTCCCGAAAATTCCCTACTAAGCACCAGTAAGAACCTGCTAGTAAACAAATCTTGCAACGAAAAATCATGTGTCCAAACGACTTTTGTATACTTTTGATTGGAGCATATGAGCATATGGTCCCCTCTCAAGAAAGACTGGTCGTGCAGGCGCATTAGGCGATTTTGCAAACGAAGAAGGACGATGCTTCTTTTGTGGGCCCTTTTTGCAACCAACCATCTGCGATTAGCGAATTTCTTTAATCGATTTTCTATCTACAACCTAGGTGGAATTGCAACATGCTGGCCCGACTTAGGCAGGTTTGCTGATGGGTTTGGATATCGGATACATCGCGGGAGTCAAGTGGCTCACCTAACAACCTTACGGCTGCAAGCGCTAAGAATATGGATATATTGTGGATAGATAAACTTGAAAGGGGAAGTGACCTTAGGATAATTGCCTAGACAAACCATGACAAATCTGGAAGCGGCAAATTGCAGAGCCTGGAAGCGGAATTTCTGACCCTCTGCTTTCTCCAAGAAGTGGTACGCTGCAGAAGTCCCACCGCCCTCTTCAGATACGTCGAGTGGTCGAATGTTTCAACAGATTTGGGGGTTTCCATAAATGGAGGTACCTGAGGTACCCCAAAATGGATGGTTTATAATTGAACATCCTATTACAATGGAGGAAAGCCTCATTTCAACCAGATGTCAGCTGAGGACCATGGATTCCTTCTCTGAGGGTTTGCTTCATGAGGAGAAGATCAAAGACACCCAGGAGCACCGAAAAAAAAACAAAGAAACATCCCTTTGGGCTGAGATATATCCAGATCATTCCAGATCCATCCAGATTACAGAATTGGTTCAAGGGCAAATCCGCAGGACGCCCCGATATTTTTGGTCAAACTCACGGCTTCCTGTGCATATTTCCCATAAACCAAGCCAGGGCTTGAAAGACGAGCAGGTTCCAACAGGTATTTTTGGAATGAGGGAATAGGTCCATGAGCCATCAACCATGCAGTCATGTTGTCAATGGCTCTTAAACATACTTCGAGTATTTTCGAGTCAAGCGTGTTGTTGTAATCATGAAAAACAGATAAAAAAGGGCAGTGAATCCTTTCATCTCTTCTCTGCCCCCAAACAAGGGGCTACCACCTATAGATGGCCACCCCAAAACGGCCCTCAGCCATCTTGAATCAAACGAGATTCAGATCTCAGTTGCAGATCTCTTTTTACATGCAGCAAAGAAGCACATATCTCCTATTCAAGTCATTCCATATTTTCTGTTGTTGGCGCATGTTTGTCCCAATTTTCACTGGTTCCCTGACTCGATCTTGGACTCAGCCATATTCATTCTTGGTTTCAGCATGTTTCAACATGTTTCATCCCTAGAGTCCTAGAGTTCCCCTCGCCAATCTCTCTCATTTCTCAAAAAACGATGCCATGAACTTTTCCGATCCAAAAAACCGGTCCAAAAGACCTTTCTCCCCCGGACATGCAGAAGACATCCAGATCCAGGACAGTTTGATCACCATGATCTTCGGAGTGGGTGCCGCCGTGGCGGCCTTTCCACCGGTCATGGATTGCTGCGTCTCGAAGCTGGGCCGGAAGGGCGCCGTGATCTTCGGAGGCCTCGTCTTCTGCCTAGGGGCTGCACTGCAGGCTCTAGCGCCTCAGCCGAAGGATCCGAAGGATCCAAAGGTTGGAAACATGGGTCGAAAACTAGGAGATGGATTGGAGATGGCTAGAAAAGGGAGGAATGTGCAACATGTTCTGACCAATATCCTGGTTGGAAAACCATTTTTTATGCAGCTGTGAAGATTTCCCAATTGACAGAACATATGACAGTGCATGACTGTAACGCCACTGTTTCATGCTGTTTCCACAGATGTTCAAGTCAACCAGCAGCTTAGTCTGTATATTTCCGAAACTGGTTGAACGAACTGTCTGTGAACCCCTGCTGTCTTTTTTGTTTCTATCACTGGGTTGGTAGCGGAAAATCTGCACAGATGGGCCAAATCATGGGGGGAGAGTCACATGCCCACCCCATGTTTTGCTAAGGCCATCAACATGGCAATGATGCTGTTGGGTCGCATCATCGCCGGCTTCTCAGTGGGTTTGCTGTCGGGCAACGCCCCGGTCTACACCAGCGAGATCGCACCCCCTGCGCTGCGCGGCGCGCTGGTCACGGGGTTCCAGTTCGCCATCACGGTATTTGTTCAGCACTGGGTGGACCTCATTGGGCATATATGGGTGACCCCTCCAGTGATGCTTGTTGGTTTATGAACCCATACCCATACTATATATATATTATATCATATATCTACCATAAGTCCTAGTCATTAGAGTTATAAACCAACTTAGCTGGCAGCACCTTGTATTTCTGGGCATTTAATAGTGAGATGCGATGAACCATGATTAAACATGTTTTTCTAGAATCACTGCAATGGCAGTGGTGAAATCTGGTGATGAAGTGGAATAGGTAGCAGGACTTAGCAGGTAGCCTGCCAACTTGGAGTCTTCATCATCTTCATCATTTCAGTGTTTTGCACCAAAGCACTCTCTGATACAAGGACTTTGCATCATTCAACATCAGTGCGGCAATTAACGCGCACACACACACAACAGTGCCCCAGCTTGCTCACGCAAACTCGCATCTCAGCTTTTCATGCCCTGCTTCACTAAGTACAATCTGCTGAACAGCAGCTTTTTAAAGCAGGCTCGCATAAGCGTAGCCCATCTTTCGCCGCTTCGGCCAGATCATTTGCACTTCCTCCTTGGTCGGTTTCACCGCCGCAGGAAAAGAAACAGGGTGTGCCATAAAAGAAGCCAGGGCTGAGTGTAAATGTGAAACATCCCGGGAGGTCCCGACAGACTTGAAGGCCCCCGACCAGTTGTGGCATGCAAAGCACTCTTTGTGTGCTTGCGAAATTTGCCAAAGCCAAGCCAATGGTTCTGGCTGCCCCTCTGCAGCTGTCTGCCTCTGTTCTCGGTACTTCTGACGCAAGTACGGCTTGAAGCGCCAAAAGGCGAAGACGTCCAAAGGCTGGAGTAAACTTGTTGTAGATGCTGGTATATATAGTAATTGAAATCCATGTCGCTTTGCCGCTACTAAAATAGTTTTCGGCAGGTGTGGGCACGCGCAGTCCCACATTATGACTGGTGAGATGCCTGCGAGAAAAGGCATGAGCGCCTTTTTCACGGCTTGTAAAATCACCAGCATGCAATCAGCTGTGACCCAAGATGACTTGCCACGAATGATTTGCAGCTGCGTACGAGGCAAAGCGTTGTACGCTCTCAGCAAAGAGCTCGGTAGCCAAGTCTGGGAGCTAATCAAGAAATGAAGAAGAAATGGTTGTATACTTGGATCACTGCAAATCAGAGCGCAGTATGTGTAAGCGCCGCGCCGGCGATCCTTTCTGATCTTCATGTGTGGCACTTCTGGATGTTTCTTCCAATGCTTCGCGTTTACTATGCACCCCGCCCCCGGTAGTGGGGAATATGCTATTGAAGTCTCGTCAAAGTTGATCCAAAGAATCTTGCCAGTGACCTTCTCGGTGATGTAGGAAATGCTCTTCCAGAAGACATTGATCTGCCATGGTCGGAAAAATCTTGCAATGAAGTCTCACCAAAAACAGACAAAATTGTTTCCAAATGCGGCCCCAAAATTGAGACCGTTTTTGGGCCCCAAAATTGCTTCCCCCACTTAAACAAGACCACAATTCGGGACTCCCAGGCGGTCCCAAAAATAGGACCTGACATCCAAAGTTTGCAGGCCTTCTGCTGCAAGTCTTCCGGATTGATTTGGCCAATCGGCCGCAAGCGCCCCCTTCGCACGGCCCAACGAGCACGCCATCGAGCAACCCATTTGTTCACAGTTCGTTTATGAGGCCGCCCACTTGGAATCTTACAGGCATTGCAGGATTCAAAGCGGCTAAACACTTCTGCTGCACACGGAGCCACGCCGTTGGCAAGGTTCTGTGCATGAACCCAACGCCAAACCTCCTGTTCCCCAAGGAAGACGCGAGCAAATTTCAGAGCCCTTGCCCAAGCCATGTTGGCTTCGTCATGCATGCAAAGAAGATCGTCTAAATCAATATCCAAAAACAGTTGCCGAACCAAAGTCTTGCTGGGGAAATTCACATCTGCTGGGGGTAACGTTGACAAATGTCTTGCAGCTTCCTCCGCCGTCGCCAGATCCCACGAAGAAAGCATGTACACTGCCAGCACCCTTTTGACAGCTGTCACTGATAACCCCCCATGTTCCAAGCGCAGCTTGTTGCGCCGTGCAGCTTGCTCACAACTCCGCAAGCGCAACCTGTTTTCATGCAAAGAAGCTTTCAATGCCTCACAACGCTCCGCTGCTGCCATGGCGTGCCTTTGGCCGCGCCCGGCCACAGCTTTTAGCAAGTTTCCATGTGTATATATACCCTTGCCACACTTGCGTAGACATGAAAGTACTAGAAAGTACAAGTTAACATCATATAGATCATGCCTGTGTGTTTTCCTGCGCATTCTTGACACAGCCTCTCATGGACATGACAGAAACCCCTTCGCTAAGAGGGTATAGCCAAATGTCAGCGAAGCAGAATAAAGAATCACGCTTTGTTTTCAGCTACATCTTCTTTTTACGACCAAAACAGTTGACCCTATAGGGAGCCATGCGTTGTGAACACCTTATTGACTGAAATAAACAAAGTTTGGCCAGATTAGTGGTCACACTCTCCCGCCCAGATATTACGGCAAGCATGGCTGGGTCTCCAAAAACTCCTGCCAAGACAAATTGAAAAAAGCGGCGAGCGACACACACACACACACACACACACCTGGGGGCCATACTTCGGAAGCCTCAAAGCAGCACAGAAAGCGGTCTCATTTTTTGGCCCGCGCAAATTGACTGACCAGCAATGCCATCACGCCTTCAGCAGCATCCTGCGGCGAGCAAAGATGGAGCATATATTGGATTGCCCGGACAATGCGCTTAGTCAACATGGGGTTACAACTCCTGCTGGGCCAATCACAAAAACCGAAAAGGGATGCATCTTCAAGGTAATGGGTGCTTCTCTGCACAACACATGAAGCTCTCTTTTTTGGGCCCGCAAAAGTCGCACGAAAATTCAAAGGCATCGTCCATCATTGCCTCAATCTCCTCATCACAAGGCCATGGCATGAGAGGTTCCTGCAATGCAGCTGCGCCAGTTGCGACAGAAGCAGGAAGATTTCCATCAGGAGTGTTCTTGCTCCCAGCAGCTGTGCCAGATTCGGCTGAAGCAGGAAAATTTTCACCAGAAAAGCTCGAAGAACAATCCTGGCGCCACTCACACCCACTGAAAACATAACATTGGAAACGCCCATCCAAAGGAGGCAGAAGGTCCCAAAGCACTAGTGCAGACATCTCTTATGAATTCAACCATGTTTGATAACATCGCATTCAAAACAAAATAGGAACATGATTATGCTGTTGGCCTCCTTTGGATGGCCGTTTGTAACGTTCCGTTTTGCATGGGCCAGCCGGTCCTCGGACTTGAACACCTTCTTCGAACACTCCACCCAGACTGTGCGTCTGTCGATGGCACCCTTGTGGTTGGGCGTGAAATATTCCACTGGCCAGAACTACTTCAAAGCTTGCAGAAACGTACTTCCCAGTACTACTTTGTACTACAAAGCTTGCAGGAACGTACTTCCCAGTACTACTCTGTACTACAAAGCTTGCGGAAACGTACTCCCCAGTACTACTTTGTACTACAAAGCTTGCAGGAACGTACTTTCCAGTACGACTTTGTACTACAAAGCTTGCAGAAATGCACTTCTTTGTACTACAACTCTTGCAGGAAATGGGAACACAGGTTCACCAAATACTGCGCCTGCCACGAAAAATGACAATCTGAAGCATCCTGGAATCAGCATGAGATGGCCAGTTCCAATGCGATTTACGATTTGTTAGGAAAGCATGCGCGGCCAAAATCGAAGCACTCCCCGCACGAAAACCAAAATCATAACGTTGGAATCCAACGTTACGATCCGTTTTTGGCGACAGTTTCACAAAAAAGTGGAAATCATAACGTTGGAACGCGGTTTGAAATAGAATATAATATTCTTTTTTTGGCCGCATCCAACGTTACGATTTCGACTTTTGTCCCACACCTGCCACGAAAAACAAGCATAACGTTGGAATCCAACGTTACGATTTCGGCGTTTGTCCCACGCCTGCCACGAAAACTCGGACCAGAGGCTCACCAAATACTGCGCCTGCCACGAAAAGAGCAATTAGGGGCTTACCAAGTACTGCGCCTGCCACGAAAACTGGGACCAGAGGTTCACCAACTATTGCGCCTGCCACGAAAAATGGAATTAGGGGTTTACCAAATACTGCGCCCACCACGAGAAGTGGGACCAGAGGTTCACCAAATACTGCGCCTGCCACGAGAAATGCATTTAAGGGCTTACCAAATACTGCGCCCACCACGAAAACTGGGACCAATTCGTGGCAAGCTGGAATCCAAGATTGATTGCAAAATTTCGAACATATGAATGAAACCGGGTGCCTTTGTCACACCTACGGCTGATTTTTGCACACATGCACACACCTGACCTCATTCCATATCTGCTTTGTGGCGGCCTTCAGCTGCTGCTTTAAAACCTGCCTTTCAGCACGCAAGCCGGGCAGCTGATCTGGCACAGCTGCGCGCACTGGCACAGCCGCGCCATCAGGTCTTCCGTCTGCACCATTGCCAGCTGCGCTTTCATCATTTGCTGTGTCAGACATGTTGACTGAACTGCGAAGCAGCAATATCTGTGAGTCTGAAAAAGGCTGCGTCGAAGCATGTGTCCACAAGTCTGATGCTGTCTTGGGACTGCAACATAAATGGGGCTGGTTTGAGAGCCCCAAAAACGGTCACACTTGAAGCTTCAATATGATGGACCCTTGCAGTATATATACACATCCAACTCACAAAAGATGGTCATTGGAGACGATTCCGAATGGGCCAGGTGATGCACCAAAAAAAATGGTAGGCGAAACCCTCCTTTCATCCTGGTACACATACAGGAAGTGCCTCCAAATTGTCAGTTTATAACCCCACCCGACTGTATAATATAGTACAATATATATATGTGTATATGAGCGACCGGCAAAATCATTGTAATCCTAATTCAGTCTGGCTTCGCCTTAGCCTTGCTGAGGGGTGTGCAAGACCTTCATTACCGCTAGGGGACGAACCTAATTTTCTCCGCCATTTTGAATTATAGAATTGAATTGTATAGTAAACTAATATCCATCATAAATCCTAATAGCAATATATAAACTTACCATTAAAAACCATGCATTTGATGTATTTTTTTTTTCCGCGTGATACCCAGGTGGGTATCATGATCGCCTTTCTCCTAGCCTTGGTCTTGGAAGATGTCGAGAAACCCTATGGCGGATGGCGATGGGTCATCGCGGCACAGCAGATGGGCCGAGTTCAGAAGACCGGGTGAAGGGCGGAGTTCTTCGAAAGCCCCGCGTTTTTTTGAATTGGTGAAAAACATTCCGAAAAATGGGTCGAGATTCAAAAATTGAGTCCCAGATGATGGTCATTTTATGTCATTTTCCCCAGATGATGATTGATGATTGTCATTTTCAAGTACCAATTTTTTTGCCATGTGTGATAATAACCAAGAAAAATGACGGGAGATGGCACAGGTTGAGGTGCGTTGATGCCGAGCTTGGTGGGTTTGAACCACCAGCCAGATCTTCAATGAATTTGTAGCACTACGGTTGGACTACGGCTTGACTGGTGGTTGGAGCGGGATGGATGGCTTACCAGCTTCACTGTAGACCGAGTCCACCTGCACTGCCTGCACTGATATATTTATAAGAGCAACTGCTTTTCTACTGATACTTTGTGCACAACAATAGTCTTCGGGAAATACTTTCTACCCCCAAACTAGCTGCAAAATGAGGTGGGTTCGCATAAAAAAACGAAGTAGATAAGATTGACATGCAGAAAAGGCAAGAACTCAGCGCAGCGTTTGAAAACGAGGTCATTCATGGAAAAGGGTCAGGGAATGGAAAATGAAGTAGGATCCGCCTTGCCTTGTGCAGTAACCTCAAATCACTTCCTTCGGTTCAACACATAATATATGTATCATTTGTCCTTTGAATGTGGCCTGCTGCGGATTTAATCAAGAGATATCAAGAGGAAGCACGGGTGATGCAGCAGATTTTCAAGGGTCCATTAGGAGCTCAATCTTTAGCGATGTTTTTTTATACTTCTCCCCAAATAAACCATTGAAATCTCCAATCCTGTCTTGATTCCTATTGTATGCATATAGGTGACAATTATGTGTTCAGTATATAATGTGTATATGGAGGTTTCCTGAAATAGGGGTACCCCCATTTATGGAACCCCCTATATATAATTATATATATATATATACACACATACATACATACATACATCCAAGCAAGGGATCTTTCACTGCCTTAAGCACTGTGACCCTTGCTTTACAATCGCTCCCCACTAATCGGGACAATTTGGAGTATCGTATTAATCTCATCCCCTATCTTGAAATATGCCTCAAATACCCCCAAGGAGGGAACCGATCCCCAAATGACTAGTTGCTGTAGTTACTTGTGGCTATCTTGTGGCTTAAGGTTTTTTTCTTTTACTCCCCCTCTATAAGTGATGCACCCTCAAAACCACAGATCCGATTCCTGAAGCACAATCCGATGATAGTTCTGAACCACAGATTCCATCTATAAGTGAGTTGTGGTTCTGAACCTCCCCATCTAGAACTGATGGTTGTATAAATATGTAACCATAATCTGAGTTCAAAACACATTTTTTTAAAATCATATTAACATCACTAATGGATCTAACCATAATCTGTCATAATCTGAGTTATAACCAGGTTCTGGTTCTAACCCTACTGATGGTATCTGCCATGGTTCAGATCCTAGGATCGTCCCTGGCATCATGCTGGTGATTGGCGGCATCTTCATGCCTGGCTCGCCTCGCTATTTGGTACAACAAGGCACCCGGACGGCCTGGCCTGGGGCTAGGCGGGGGCTGGTGTTGTTTCGTGGACCATCAAGAAATGGGACTTAACCATCAAGAAATGAGGCTTGAAGCATCAAAACATGTTGTTTTTTCATGATTTACATTGATTTATTATATATAACCACAAAAAGGGGATTTGAGATGATCTAACCATGAAACATGGTTTTCTTTTACCCACAGGTTTTAATGTGATCCAGGACAGGACCAACCAATCATGGAAAAAGTACAGGTTGCATCCCCAGGGGTTGTCCTACTAATCGATGAGTATATCCCAAAGTCCGGCAGTCTGGCACTGATGGAAAAATGAAGATGAACCACCATTCTCTTCATGGCAAAATGATTGGAAACACCATTGGATTTGGGAGTACCACAGTTTCAGATCTGGCTATGGATCAATACCTATTAATACCATTTTTAGGGGGATGAACATCCATTTACCAGCTATTTTGATGTTCACCAGGGGTACAAGGTTTTGACCCATCCCCATCTTACTTTTTTTTTAAAGGAAACTATGTCGTCTGGTCATTGCATCGTTTTACGAAACTCTCCCATGTAACTTGACCATAAAAAACCGGACACGATCCGAGGCTCCGTTGTGGCCCTAGAAAAATGACGGGTCGGATCTGATGGGAACAGCCATGGTTGCCCGATGTTGCCCAAAAAACAAGATGAAGCCCACAAACCCGAATGCTCACACGTATGTTAATGGCACAGATGTCAAAACACATGGATATGCAGTGACGCACAACACTTTTCTGCAATAGTTTATTTGAACAGTCTTGTTCATATTTCCCCTGTTACCAGTCTGCGGTGTGGAGTGGAAAGTGTAGAATGTGGAGTGTAAAGTGTGGAGTGTGGAGTGTAGCGTGTGGAGTGTCGAGTGTAGAGTGTGGAGTGAGGAGTGTAAAGTGCAAAGTGTGGAGTGTGAAGTGTAAAGTGAGGAGTGTGGAGTGTGGAGTGAGGAGTGTGGAGTTTGTAAATTGTAGAGTGTGGAGTGTAGAGTGTAAAGTGTAGAGTGTAAAGTGTACAGTGTGGAGTGTAAAGTGTAGAGTGTCGAGTGTGGAGTGAGGAGTGTAAAGTGTAAAGTGTGAAGTGGAGTGTAAAGTGTAGAGTGTGGAGTGTGGAGTGGAGTGGAAAGTGTAAAGAAAAGAGTGTAAAGTGTAGAGTGTGGAGTGTGGAGTGTAAAGTGTAGAGTGTGGAGTGTGGAGTGGGGACTGTAAAGTGTGGAGTGTGGAGTGTAAAGTGTAGAGTGTGGAGTGCGGAGTGGAAAGTGTAGAATGTGAAGTGTGGAGTGTGGAGTGTAAAGTGAGGAGTGTGGCGTGTGTAAAGTGTAGAGTGTGGAGTGTAAAGTGTGGAGTGTAAAGCGTGGCGTGTGGAGTGCGGAGTGTGGAGTGGAAAGTGTGGAGTGTAAAGTGAGGAAGGTGGAGTATAGACTGTGGAGTGTGGAGTGAGGAGTGTAAAGTGTAAAGTGTGGCGTGTGGAGTATAAAGTGAGGAGTGTGGAGTGTAGTGTGGAGTAAGGAATGTAAAGTGTGGAGTGTAAACTGTGGAGTGTGGAGTGGAAAGTGTAGAGTGTGGAGTGTAAAGTGAGGAGTGTGGAGTCTAGAGTGTGGAGTGAGGAGTGTGGAGTGTAAAGTGTAAAGTGTGGCGTGTGGAGTATAAAGTGAGGAGTGTGGAGTGTAGTGTGGAGTAAGGAATGTAAAGTGTGGAGTGTAAAGTGTAAAGTGTGGAGTGTAAAGTGTAGAGTGTGGAGTGGAAAGTGTAGAGTGCGGAGTGTAGAGTGTGGAGTGTAAAATGTAAAGTGTGGAGTGTAGAGTGTAAAGTGTAGAGTGTAAAGTGCATAGTGTGGAGTGTAGAGTGTAAAGTGTAGAGTGTGGAGTGAGGAGTGTAAAGTGTGAAGTGTGGAGTGTAAAGTGTGGAGTGCGGAGTGGAAAGTGTGGAGTGTGAAGTGTGGAGTGTAAAGTGAGGAAGGTGGAGTGTAAAGTGTGGAGTGTAAAGTGTGGAGTGTAAAGTGTAAAGTGTAAATTGTGGAGTGTGGAGTGTAAAGTGTGGAGTGTGGAGTGGAAAGTGTAGAGTGTGAAGTGTAAAGTGAGGAGTGTGGAGTGTAGAGTGTGGAGTGAGGAGTGTGGACTGTAAAGTGTCAAGTGTGGAGTGTGGAGTGTAAAGTGTAGAGTGTGGAGTGTGGAGTGTGGAGTGGAAAGTGCAGTGTGGAGTGTAGAGTGTGGAGTGTAAAATGTAAAGTGTGGAGTGTAGAGTGCAAAGTGTGGAGTGTGGAGTGTAGAGTGCAAACTGTAGAGTGTAAAGTGTAGAGTGTGGAGTGTAGAATGTAAAGTGTAGAGTGTGGAGTGACGAGTGTAAAGTGTGGAGTTTGGAGTCTAAAGTGTGGAGTGGGGAGTGTGGAGTGTGGAGTGGAAAGTGTAGAGTGTGAAATGTGGAATGGAAAGTGTAGAGTGTGAAGTGTGGAGTGTAAAGTGAGGACTGTGGATTGTAAAGTGTGGAGTGTGGAGTGATGAGTGATGAGTGTAGAGTGTAAAGTGTGGAGTGTGGAGTGTAAAGTGTGGAGTGTGGAGTGTGGAGTGGAAAGTGTAGAGTGTGGAGTGTGGAGTGTAAAGTGAGGAGTGTGGAGTGTAGAGTGTGGAGTGAGGAGTGAGGAGTGTGGAGTGTGTAAAGTGTAGAGTGTGGAGTGTAAAGTGTAGAGTGAGGAATGTGGAGTGTAAAGTGTGGAGTGTGGAGTGTAAAGTCTCAAGTGAGGAGTGAGGAGTGCAAAGTGCAAAGTGTAAAGTGTGGAGTGTAGAGTGTAGAGTGTGGAGTGAAAGTGTAAATTGTGGAGTGTGGAGTGTAGAGTGTAGAGTGTGGAGTGCGAAGCTTCCCCCATAGACACGGCGACGCCACAGGAAAACCAGAGACTCGAGACGAGACACGTGGGTGCAGAAAAACGAGCATTTCGTGCGAGACTTCCTCCAATTTTGACATTTTCGAGACGTTATCAAACAGGTTGGAATGTCACAAAGTGCCACGCCTGCCACGCAAAACGGCATGACAACCTGCTTGGAAACCTTGGAAAAGGAGAGGTTTTGCAGCTTCCCTCATAGACACGGCGACGCCACAGGAAAACCAGAGACTCGAGACGAGACACGTGGGTGCAGAAAAACGAGCATTTCGTGCGAGACTTCCTCCAATTTTGACATTTTCGACACGTTATCAAACAAGTTTGGAATGTCACAAAGTGCCACGCCTGCCATGCAAAACGACATGACAACTTGCTTGGACACATTCGAATAGGACAGGTTTTCCAGCTTCCCCCATAGACACGGCGACGCCACAGGAAAACCAGCGACTCGAGACAAGACACGTGGATGCAGAAAAACCAGCATTTCGTACGAGACTTCCGGCGGTTTTCACACTTGGCAACATGACAAAAGGACAAGTTTTGCAGCTTCCCCCATAGACACGGCGAGGCCACGGGGAACCAGAGACGCGAGACGAGACAGGTGGGAGCACCAAAACGAGCATTTCGTGCGAGACTTCATCCAATTTTCACACTTTGTAGCTGCAAAATCGACGTTTTCCTACGAGTTTTCCTTAGAACCTGAAAATTTGCAACCTCAAAATCGATGTTTCGTGCGAGGCTTCCGTCAATTTTCAGCACATGTCACAAAATGCCACGCCTGCCACGGAATTTGCACCTTGTCACCACTTGACGCAGCCCTGCCAATGCGATTTACAAAAAAAGGCAACAGGACACGTCTAAAGTGCTGCGCCTGCCACGAAAAATGACGATGGACACGTCCAAAGTGCTGCGCCTGCCACGAAAACTGCAACACATCTTCTGAAAACGTCACAAAAGTATTGCGCCTGCCACGCAAAACGATTTTCAACACGTTGCAAAACACGTCTGAATGTCACGAAGTGCCACGCCTGCCACGCGAAACGAAGCAACAACACGTCTGAAACCTCCAAAAATGACCACCTCTGCAGAACTTCCCATAGGCACGGCTATACGGGGATCGCGCGGACGGTTGCGAACGGTTGCGGACGGTTGCGAACGGTTGCGAACGGTTGCGATCGTGAACGCAACGTCGAGCGAACACACCCTCAACCCCAGACCCCCAGAGTGAAACGGGAACCCTTGCTACGCATTCGGGAAAATGATGTACGCATCACCAGTGGTGCGTTTTCCATTTCTATGCTATGTGTATATATATATATATATATTTGTATGTATAATATATTATATACACTGTACATACATACATGCATCATACATATTATATATATATGTATACACACACACATATATATATATATATACACATGTTTTTCTGGAGGGTATCTATCCTGACAATGGACAAAATCCTTTTGGGATCTTTTGGGGATCTTCCTATGGCCTGTTTGATTTGCAATACCCAAAGGGCAACTCCTTTGGAACATCTCAAGTTTAATGAAGAACACCTATATTCATGGTGAAATCCAATATTTTTCATGCTCAGAATCATGTTAAATCACATTGATTCAGAAGGATCTCCACAGCCCCAGCTGTGCAACGGCAAGCCTCAGGCAAGCCTCGGCAGGCGCTGAGGTGTTTGTTGTTGCTGCGCAGCGAGGCCGGGCAAATTTTCCGGGAAACACGTGGAAGAATGGCGAAAGAAATGGGAACATGGTGGGTCAAGTGAGAAATGGGAAACACATACATATATATATATATACATACATATATATATACATACATACATATATATATATACACATACATATATAATATACATATATATATATATACATATGTATATATATATATATGTAAACATAAATATACACATTTACATATATATATATATACATGTATACACGATAAATGAAATAGTTTCCATTTCGTCAACTCAATGCTTCTCAATGGGTCTTAAACTTCCACCCATGTTGAAACACACATCTATGGAGGATGCTTCTGGAGAAACCTGACCCTTGGTAAGCCTGACGCCTCCCTTTTCCTGGAGACACAACACCACATTTGTATGCATTTCTTTGGTACATGTTGATTTGTCAGACCCCTCCCAGTTCTATATGATATCATTTCATATATCATATATCATATAATTTTATGTATATAGATGATAGATGGTTTTCCAAACATGTACCATCAGTACCACATTTATTATGAACTATGTCCCAGACCCAGCAGCTCCAGCAGCTCCCAGCAGCTCCAACAGCTCCAGCAGGATGTGCGTGAAGAGCTGGCGGAGATTTGCCAAGAGCATGAGATGGACTCGACCACGAAGGGCACCTGGGTCGAGTTTTGCTCCGGCGACAACTGCGCCTTGGTCCGCCTTGGTGGCGGGTCGGCTTGGGTCATTGATTTATATGACTTTATGTGATTTCATATGTAACATGAATCTATGTTGTACTATATGACTTTATTTGAGTTTATATGATCCAATAACCCTTTTATCCCTTTTATATGATTTCAAATGATGGTATAATGTTTTACATGGTCGTTTCAACTTGGAAACTTGAAACAACTTATGTATCCATATTCAGTCGTACTTCACTGATCCACAAAAGCGGACGCTAAAATGACCCGGTCGAGGATGAAGATCCCATGATTTTCATCGGATGGAAAAAACCGCTTAGATCCAAGTCGCAAGGCAATGGTTATAGCATGGGTATCATAAGTCATAGTTTCAATAAACGGTCATCAAATGATAGGGAAAATGGGGAAAATGATGAGTTGATCCATGGGAGAAAAAAAGGCATTCTATTTTCAGATAAACCCATAGCATCTGATAATCAAGCCTGGAAATGGAAGAATCCCCGTTTGGTTCGGGGATTTCCCAACGTTTGCCGCGTGATAATCCCGATGATTTTTCCATATCCCCATGAAAAATCTCCATGATATCCCTATGATTTCCCATGAAATCAGCTGTTTGGTTGGTTAAATTACCATTTCTCCTGGTTTTCAATCACGATTTTTGATGCTTAAGTCACTTCCAAAGCCTGAGATTTTCTTCCAGCATTTTGGCCTTTTGCCTCGAGCCCTCGCCCAGTGAAACTGCTGGGCATTGGCGTCAGCATCCAACTCTTACAGCAACTCTGTGGCATGAGCCTCGGCTCGAGGATAATGTGTGACATTGGCTGATGGGTAGATATGGGTAGTGTATGGTGTTTAGCCATCGGAAACCCATTGTTAACCATCCCAAGCTATGCCTGGGACATGAAATATTTGAGGGATGTATATCCATTTTCCCAATTCACAAACCTCTATTTGTTTTTGTGTTTTAATTGGGTTTACGACACGGGGTAAACATTTTCCAAAGCCAGGGGACCACATCAAGAGGTATGCAAAAAGAAAGAGACAGTATGAAACAGTTTGTCACAATCTACTTAACTTTGAATCATTGTTTATGTTTCAAAGTCTCTCTTGATGGTGTTGCATCTGTCAAGATTTTGTCGCACAACCTCTATACTAAAGATACACCTTTGGTTTAGAGATGCTTAGCAGTCAATGCGCGGTTTTCCAACAGATAATTTGGTGCCTGTTTGAACAATTGTGGCCTGGAAGCCCTGTAGCCCAAATCCACCAGCAACTGATGGATTTGATGCCTGAAGCAGCCCTTTAGGAACGCCTTCATGTACGACGGCCCTTTGATCTTCGACAAACTCTTCGGCAATGAACACGCTGGGCGCCTTTTTACCCTAGTCTCAGGCCGTTAGACGCGTCAAGATGGTCCTTTGTGAAGGAACTCGTAGGCGTTCAAAAGGAACAAGGAACTTTACTAAATGCGCACTTTAAGGAGCGGGAAATAATACCTTCAATGCATCAAATATAGAGCTTCTAAATGTAGCGTCCACATGGTGTTTTGCCATGGAAATATTTCAGCACCAAACACTGGTGGATTCAACCAGCAAAAATGAGGAATCGAATCTTGATTCAATCCAAATTTCAGATGTTCCTGGTAGATTTTGGTTTCTCCTTTTTTCCTGGTAAAGGTGAAACCCCCAAGATAATTCCCCAGCAGGTGTGGTCAACATATTCGCCACCATCCCTGGACTTTTCTTGGTGGACAAGTGCGGCCGAACGGTGTTGATGAAGTGGTCCGCCGTTGGTGCCACGGTGGAAATTTATGGGTTGACTGTGGTCTTGTTTTGTGGCGACGGCTTTCCAAGGCCAAATCTGATGGAGACGGCCATTCTCAACAGCCATCCTGGTTTTGGGGGGTGTTTTTTGATTGAGAAATAGTATGAAATAGTGGGTGAGTACCTGGTGAAAGTATAGGGATTTGTCCATGAGGACCAACCATCAACCAGCCAAAATTATGTTCTACAGGAAAAGCGAAGAAACGTATTGGGGCATATAATCAGAAGACCAAGAGATCACCCACAACATCAAGCCACTTTCGCTACAAGAAATCTTTTGCCACAACAAGTTAAACACAGAAGGGTGGGTCGCCCTAGAGCGGCGTGGACGTATGAAACAATGAAAGATTGCTGGCGCAGAAAATTTCACAATATACCATTTCAAATACAGAACAGGGAACACCGTGAAGAAATAAAAACATGGTCTCTCAACCGAGAAGATCCTTTTTGACATTCTTTTTCACCTATAGGACGAACAGCTGCTGTAGTGGTGCCAACGGGTCTCACCCAGACCTATGGTTTTAAAAAAATCCCCAATGGTCAGTACATGGGATCCTGAAAAACATGGTGGACTTGTTGAAAGCTGGGTATGGCTCATCTCAAAATAATTTCACAATAAACCAATGGCTTAGTACCCAGTGCGAAACACATGACTGATGCTGAAGAGCCTCTTCTTTTGTCCATTATGACGGTCATCTTGGCCCGAGGATAATCTGGTTTCCCCAAAGTTTGATTTTTGGGACCCGTCGATGCTAAACTTGCTGTCTTCAGGATCAATTTTGGTACGCCGATTCCAGATCTGATATCGATCGAGATCCCGACGATCGTAAACATCAACATCGCTGAGTTGATGTTCACTTTCATGCCAGGAAAATCATGGGTTTTCACGGGTTGCAGATAGGTTTTCCAGCTTCGCTTTCAACCATGGGACACCGGTTGTGTCACCTGTCCGAAACTTTCCGGCGACCAAGGAATGATGTTTTGCTCCGGTGTCCTTGCGTCCATTGGAGACCTGTGCTTCGAGGTCTGCATCAATCAGTACACACCAAAAACACAAGACAAGTACACAGATGTTTGTCTATATGTCAGACAAATGTCAAGAAATATATTGTGGATATATATATATATATTATAGAGCTTATATATATAAAATACAGATTTATATAATTATATATATATATATATGTATGACTACATCTGGCAGTCTAATGTCTGGCTATGTGTCAGTACAATTGCATGTCAAGATGACAGACACATGTCAGTCTCAGTATAAAACACATATTATGCAATATACAATATATACATAATATATATATATATATATGTATATACACCAGTACTTACTCCAATTCACGACAAATGTCCGTGAGCTTGTGAATACATGTGCCCGTCAGTGTTTCATAACTTTGTCCGCAAAAAAAAATGAGTCCACCGGTTCGCACGTTATAAAAAATCGCGCCCACTTGACATGTCAAGTGCAGGTGCACTTGACTTGACCTGTTTTTATCCCTGAGCTCGAAATGGTAAAAACCATCCCCAAATGGTAGTTGGACCAATGGCATTGGGTGAATCCATCAGTGGCCATTGGAAGCTACGCTACACGGCAAGAGGACGACATCGGAACTTGTGGTCCTTGGGCCAAGTGGATCCTTGACAGCCAAAAAGATGGGAAAAATGGTGGTTGAATTGATGGTTTAATGGTGGCTCAATGGTGGTTTAATGGGACTTATTGGAACTTCATGGGGATTTCCATGGGGAATTTCATGGGACCGGAGAACAACGGGACCTGTTGAAGAAAATATGTCTGGAGAATCAGGCGCTGGCACGGGGCTGGCCCAAAACCCTAGAAAATGGATTGGACGACCATAAATCTTGGACCAGAAATCTATGGAGAGGGCAAGACAACACAGCCATGATTCATATCATATGAAGAACATATGGGTTGTTTGAGCAATCATTTTGACATGGCAGTGACCAGCCAAACAGTTCGTCTAGAAGTCTTGAAATTTTGCTCACAGACATGTAATTTCAAGGTATGGGGTCAGATTTGAGACCATTTAGTTGCTTTTGTCCCCTAAAGATTCCATCATGCCCCAGTACTAGAACATCGAATGCAAAAAATGAAAGCTCTTTGCTAGCGTTTATTTCTAATTTGGCGGGGTGAGGAATGGGAGTAGAACTGACCAAAATATGGGGATATGGCCATCATGAAGCTATGGTAATGGGACATTTTGAGTCTTGGGTACCGCTGGACCCATGTTTTTTTGTTGTCTTTTTAATGATCAATGAACACTCAATCAACTAACACTCAATCAACTAACTCATCAATGTATACCCTCTGGTTATTTAACTTGCAGCCATTGAAAATGGCCATAGAAATAGTGGATTTACCCAGCTAGAAAATGGTGATTTTCCATAGTTATGTAAACGTTTACCAGAGGGTAACATTAAAATTGTGGGTAGACGATTAAAAATCTTAAGCCATCCACCTTTCTTAGGATGATCATTGTCACCAGCCATCACAATTCCTCCATGGCAGCCGTTCATGGGAATTTTCCAGCGGCTGCAATGATGACACCGGGCTGGGAAATCCCAGTAGATATCTCCAAATGTCATAGTGAAGATTTTGTCGATTGTATATCCAACTACATCATATGGGGGTGGGTCAAAACCTTATTAATATCAATTCTAATGGGATGAACATCCATTTACCAGCTATTTTGGGGTTCACTAGGTGCCCGGGTTTTGACCAATAGCCATATTATCTTCCAGTATATCCCATGAATTCTCATGGTCTCCCTATGAGTTTGCTGGTTTTTTGGACACAGAAAAGCAGGAAGGAAAATGATGAAAATCCAAACCCATGGCTTCGCCAGATTCGAAAAAAAACATTTTGCGTGTCATATTTCGTCGTCTTAGTAGAGCATTTATCATGATTCAGAATCATGAGCATTTATCATGATTCAGAATCATGATACATGCTCATGATTGTTGTTACATATCTGGAACAGTTGTTGACTTACTACTGCGATGATAAAAACAGAGTAGAACATTGTTGCGCAAACAGATTGTGCAAATAAATTCAAATAATTTCTCCAGACTCTCCAGACACCAGAATTTATGGTTGCAAACTTTACCTCCCCCTGAGTGCTGGCCACGTTCTGTGGAGGTAAAGTGGTACATGGGATCCCATATTAATATGTATATATATATACATATGTATACATATATATATATATGTATCGGCTCCACAGTTTTGTGACAAGTTGGTCCGAAAATCGCGAACATCACTGGTACAAGGACAGCCACGCTGGCCATTTGCGGTTTCATTCTGAACTTTGCATACGGCTGCTGGACAATGAAAGGGGAGGCAGGAGCAGGAGTCGGAGTAGGATTAGGATCATCATCATCATCATCATTATCATGATCATGGTCATGATCATGATCATGATCATCATTATCCATCATCACGATCACCACCATCACGATCATCGTCACCATTTTCCTCATCACTATCAGTGTTAATTTAGGTACTACCAATATAGTTTTGTCAGTACTTTTACTACGTTATCATTGTCCACTTATTGGACACACACATCCTGAGGCTGGGGCGGCATGGCATGGGTCTACTGTGCCGAGATGTTTCCGCAGAAGCACCGGACCAAGGTGTGCCGATTCCGCATGGTGTTCGGAGCGGTGATTTCGGGGAGGAATTGGAACGAAAATAGGGAGATTCACTAATAAAAACAGTATGGGAATCTCCCTATTTTCGTTCCAATATTGGTGAAATCTGCCAATATAAAATTTGCCAATATAGGAATTCACCTATTTCCCATATTGTGGGTTCATAACACCTTGAAGATTTAACACGGTGTTTAAACACACAATATGGGAAATTTGCCAAACTGAGAATGGATTTGAAGGGTTATGACCTGGAAAAGAAGGTATTTGATAGGAAATACTTCACCTATTTGACTTTTGATCTGAAACTTGGGTTTGCCCATGGGATATTTACTCCCACCTTACATGGCAATTTTAAAGAGAAAAATGAGGTTCCAAACCATCAAATTACCGCCTCAGACATTCCTGCAGAGTGGCTATGTTGAACGGATGAACCAAAAATGGCTTTGTGAGACTGTTAGAATTGGGCCCCAATTCTGAACATGATGTTCATTGTTTTCCAAACCATGGGATGCAATGGGAGTCCACAGTTTGATGGGTTTAAGCATCGGTTTTTGCTCATAAATTTGGTTCAGCATCACCTTTTTCATGCAGTCAGTGGATTTTTTGTTGGCAACCATGACAAGGATATACAAGGATGTATATAATAGCCGTGTGTACAGTCCCGAAAACAATGTATATACATGTTGGGCCATATCAAAATGATGGTCAACAACTAGGGACATTTTTTTCACGAATTTCAGGCATTTATAATCCCATCCCCCCAATATTAAACACCCCCCAGAAACCATGGTCTAAACTTGGACTAGACTAGATAGCAATGTTTTAGGATGGTCATCAATCCATCAATAGAGAGAGTCACATGCCCATGATGCTTGGATTCCCATTATGGGATGGATGACCATACACCATATATCCATGAGATATTCCAGTATCCCATTTATCAATGGATTGGTTTAAGGGACAATTTTAGCCGGAACGCCCCATATTTTTCATGGGAAAATCGATGGTTCCCGGTGTATATTTTCCCGACAAAACCAATGATATGTTCATAGACCATATACACCTTTTCTACATCCATGTTCCAATGATATGTTCTATCCACCATATACCCATGATATACCCATGATATACCCATGATATATTCCATCCCTTTTTTCTTCCCATTACTGTGAAATCACCGGTGAAATCGGCATCTGGCCAGGGGGTGGCGGCCACCACCGATGCCAACTGGGTACCTGGGCGGTGAAAAACAAAATTCGACCAAGATACAAAGTGGGCCCCCAAACGATAGCTAAGTTGGTGCAAATTACTCCAATAACTATGGTTTATGGTCCTTATAACTATAGTTATACTATGTTATACTATAGTTACTGGGGCTTATAAACCAACTTATAACTGGGGAGGCCCACATTGTAGGCTATCTGGATGAATTACATTTTCTATCTTTTGAAGCTTGCGGGAAAAATCAGATCCACATTTTTTTTTACCACCAATTTTGGATCTTACACAATTCATTCCTGAAGAATGGTGATTTACACGACCCATTCCTGAAGAACGGTAATATTTGAGTGGCCTTCAGAGTGATATTTTCACTAGTTGCCAGCCGCTAGTTCCTAGACTTGGTGATATCAGGGGAAGATGAGGTTCTCACAGGTTGAGAGCTTCATGTCTTGGCAACATCTATGGTCAGCCATGTCATTTCCTTCATCCCTGTGACTATGAAGACTTCTTGTGGGGCGTTGCATCCTTCTCATCGGATGTCATCTTTCCAGTCTCTGCATGCCCAGAAACTCATGTTGTCGCACGACCCAAGCTGGCTTGACATTGTGAGCCCCTTTGTTCTGTCATGGGCATAGCATTTGATACAGAAATTTCACCGACTTGAGTCCGATTGATGAAAGAAAAGCTTTGCGTGAAACAGATTTCACTGGGATCTTTAGCTTAAACACCATCTGGTTGCACTTGAACGTGCTTTTGAATCGCCTGCCGACATAGAAGTGACACATCAGCTGCAGAACATCCATTCAGGAGTTGTACCCTCTTGTTATTTAACGGTTTGCGCACTGGACAATCACCTTTTAAGTTCGGTAAATCATCATGTTAATCATCATTAAATGAACCATGTTCCATAGCTATGTTAAATCACCACATGGTATGAATAGTGTGCCTTATTCATTTTGTTCAAGTTCCCGCCACAACCGCGATGTGGTTCCTCAGGTGGGCAACATTTTGATTGCCTTCCTGCCACCGTTGATGTTTGCCAACTGGGGCTTCAACACGTTTTGGGTCTTCGTTGGCACCAACTGTCTCTGCCTCTTCTGCGCCATGTCTTTGCCAGAGACCAAGGTGCGGCAGAGCACCAAGATTGGGCCAAACGTTTGGAAGGTTCCAAAACGTTGTTTGCTCATTTCATCCCATCCCCTGTTCATATTCAACACCCTTCCCCTTTGTTACCACCATGCTTTCAGGGGGGTGTAAACGTTCCTAACCGTATAAAAGGGGGATGGGATTTTCATCGTTTTGGTATACTTCTTCCAATGTCAACTGGGGACTGATCATGGTCTTCTTTTGGGAGCCCAAAACCTACGGTGATAGTGACAACATTTAAATTGTACCGGGATCACCTCCCGAACAGTGTAAGCTAATGGGGTCTTCAGCCCAGAACGTAAGCTAATGGGGTCTTCAGCCCAGAATTAGCTCCGGTGTGCACTGGTGCAGGCGCCGGGTCAGGTTCAACGAGGTTCCGGAAAAAGTTCCGAAGGTTCCGGAGAAGGTCTGGGCCGCTTTGGTGCAGAGCCAGGTCAGGTTCAGCAGGGTTCCGAAGAAGGTTCCGGAGAAGGTCTGGGAGGCTTGGTGCAGAGCCCGGTTAGTTTGAACAGGGTTCCGGAGACAGTGCCGGAGAAGGTCTGGGAGGCTTTGGTGCAGAGCCAGGTCCGGAGAAGATTCCGGAGAAGGTTCCGGGAGGCTTTGGTGCAGAGCCAGGTCAGGTTCAACAGAGTTGAGGAAAAGGTTCCGGAGAAGGTCTGGGAGGCTTTGGAGCACGCTCAGGTGTTTCCAGCGCTTGGCTTCGCAGCATGCTTCAGAAAGATTTGTAAGGATAAACCGTTGCGGCTGTTGGGGATACCACCGAAGCTTATTTCATATTTTTCCGACTGTTTAAATGTGTATCAGATCCTGAAATATGTACTTCCGGCTGTTTAAATGATTGGCCGGCCAGGAACTCCACAGGTAGATCACACTTAATTTGATCATCTTCCCATACTTTCCTCATGTTTGAATGCCAATTTCTGGATCTCCCTCATTTTGAGGCGAACCCATATCCATTGCTCATTGGAGTTTATTTTTTCCCTATTTCTGAGGCTTAAATCCCCACAAATTCGCTGGGTAAATCCTGCATTCCTATCCGTTTCTGAGCATCGCACAAAATGTGGCTGTGTCTGAAAATTTGGCACCTCCCTAAATGTATTGGCTTAATTAAAGCCTATAGTACTATCATTTCCCCCATGAATATGTGGCCGGGGTGTATTCCTCATGCAGGTACACCCCAAATCCACGGTTTTGTTGCCTAGTTGCATCCCAGATCCATTTTTCCCACGCGGCACAGGACAAGAGCTTAGAGGAGATTACCTTGATGTTCAACCACTGGTTCCACCCAGGTTGAAGCCAAGGGACCCGGGAGACACCAAAAATGTAGAGTACAATAACCCAATTCCAACGTATAGCTACACCCTACATATTCACTACAATCACTATATATAATTATGTGTATAATTATATAATTATATATATATATATATACACATACATATATCTATATATATATATATGTATATATATATATATATATATGTATATATATTATAAATAAGTAGGGGGAGTCAATAAATGTACTATCCCTTTGTGCTATAGGCAGATGGACTTGGATCATTTTTTTGGATACCCCCTCATGACAACGTTTGAAGTAGGCTTAAACCGGGGGGGCAGGGAGGCCATAGGGGTAACCCCCAAGAGTAGCAAAACGATGCAGAACAGCTTGCAGCTTCAACAATCCAGAACAGCTCAGAAGAACACACACACATATATATATAGACCAACCAGCTAATTTTTTTCTTTGAAGTGTATCTATGATTGGGCATCATAGAGAGAGAGAGAGAGATATGAACCAAGCGCTCAAATGTGGACTGTAGTTTCAAGTCATGGCATCGAATGTCCCCACGTCCCACCCTAAAGGTCCCCATGCTCCCTGGTCTGCCGCTCCCCCATGTCCCACCCTAACCCACAACCCCAAAGGAATCCAAAGGTCTTAATCATTCAGGTAAAAAAGTAACCAGCCCTACAGTAAGTGATCTTTTCGTACTGGCCTAAGCGATCCTGACCCAAGAGAGACATCTCGGGGGCGCCTATGTCCCACAAAATTCGGAGGTTGATGGCAAAATCACTGATACATGGGATAGTTTAGGGATTTTCCATTGGTTGAATTACCAGAGGGTATCTCAAACTCCACCCATCTTCGAACTTGTTTGATCCTCAAGAATAAAACAGTCAGAGTCGTCACCTTCACACGGGGAAATGCTCCTATGGTGACTCCAGAAATGCGTTCTTTTGGAATAATTTATAATTATGCATCAAGTACTATTTTTATCCAAAAAGTCCCGCACCAAGTTTTTTTGATTTGTACCGATCTCTCACCACATTTTCTCATCATATATTTTGTATTATATAATTATTATTGTATTTGCAAGAATTCATCAGATTCCACTTCAAACTGTAAACCCGCATACGTATATAACAATCACCAATAATATATGACAATGTACTTTTCAAAATTTGTAATAACCAATAATACAGTAAGCATTCAAAGTTCTGTTTGACCTTTCGACCCTGACTTCAGTGCCCCGCATTTGTTGGTGTATCCTCCGTGGCAGGCGAGTGCAAGGCCACCGAAGACGCCAACGTGGATTCGGTGGATGCGTAGACCGAGCTGCTGAAAACTGCGCTCAAATGTGTAAAGCTCAGCACATTTTTGAGGCGACGTTGGTTGCATTGTACAGGAGGACGTTGTTGATGTGGCTTGAAATGATGGCAAAGGATAGAAAATGATGGACCCAAGCTATTTTGAGGACTTTTGCAAGTCTTCCTGCACGATTTGACACAATTTTTGCAGAGCCCTATCTTCTCGCCCTGCGACCAGCTCGATGAACATGTCTTGGGAATATCCTGTATACAGCTGGGCCGGTCTTTGAGATGGGTGTGTGTGTCACTATCACCACAACACATGCTTCAGAAAGATAGACAAAATTATGCTCATGACTCACTGTTTCCAGAAAGTGGCGACCAGCACCATTTATTCATCAAGTGATTCTTTCATGAAGTTTACTGAAGTTTACTGTCATCCCTATGCTTCCGATGCAGGAAACCTAGTATATGGCCGTTGGATTCCATAGTGAGGTTGCAATGGTACCCATCGGAAGGCCCACAAATTTATAGAATGGAGCCTTTGACAACAGGGATTGTTTTAGCCCGAAGTATTGAAATTCGATTTATATCCCAAGTGGGCTGAGTGCCCAGAACGCAGGCAGCCGCTTGTTTGGGATTACAAAGTACCAGTAATACCGCACAAGGCGGTGGGGGAAGTTTCAAAAATAGGAAACCTATAGAAGAGGTTGTTTGTTGTGAACCACGGATGGCAGAGCGAATCCACTGGTGGACTGACAGGTGGTTGGAGTTGTGTTTTTTGGAATGGTTGCAATGGTTGCAGTGGTCACCTTACCACAACTGCTGGATGTAGTGTGGTGTAGTGCAGTTGTAGTTGTAGTTGCAGTTGTAGCTGTAGTTGTAGTGTTGTGTAGTGTAGTGGAGTTGTAGTTGTAATATAGTGTAATCAGTGTAGTTGCAAGTGCAGTTGCAGTTGTAGTCGTGATGTGGTGTAATTAGTGTAGTGTAGTGCAGTGTAATGTCGTGTAGTGTTGTGTAGTGTAGTGTGGTATAGTGTAGTGTAGTCTAATGTAGTGTAAGCTAGTGCAGTTGTAGTTGTAGTGTAGTGCAGTGTAATTAGTGTAGTGTAGTATGCGCAGTGTAGCGTAGTGTAAGCTGTAATGTAGGGTAGTTTTAGGTGTAGTTGCAGCTGCAGTTGTAGTTGTAGTGTAATGCAATGTAATCAGTCTAGTGTAGTGTTGTGTAATGTAGTGTGGTTGTAGTTGTAGTTGTATTTGTAGTTGTAGTGTACTGCAGTGTAATTAGTGTAGCGTAGTGTAGTTGTAACTGTAGTCGTTGTTGTGTTATTAGTATTATTATTATTATTATAGTAGTAGTAGTAGTTGTTGTTGTTGTAGTTGTTGCTGTAGTGTAATTGGTGTAGTGTGGTGTAATTAAATGCAATTAGTGTATAAAGTGTAGTGTAGTGTAGTGTAGTGTAGTGTAATTAGTGTATTTAGCGTAGTTTATTTGCATTTGTAGTTGTAGCGGTGGTGTAGTGTAGTGTAGTGGTAGTTGTAGTTGTAATTGTCTATCTATCTATCTATCTGTCTGTCTGTCTGTCTGTCTGTCTGTCTACCTGCAAACTTGAAAATGAAGCTATTCTGCGAGACTTCTTCAATTTTTGAACTTGACAACATCCAAAACGAAGCAATTCTGCGAGACTTCCTCAATTTTTAAACTTGACAACATCAAAAACGAAGCAATTCTGCGAGACATCCTTGAAAAATGGAAAGTTGAGTGCAGAGCTGATGGCCTCGTACCAATGCGTTTTGCGATTTTTCCAGTTGTGTCTCTAAAGTATTGCGCCTGCCCGGAAAAAGTGAAGCCAGGTCATACAAAGTGCTGCACCTGTCACGCAAAATCATCTTCCCAAACCTGAAGATCTCATGCTCCAAAATGCAACCCTCTCAGGAAATCTCCGCCCTGACCTCCCAACATCTCTCATGAACATGTCTCTTGTACTGCGCTTGCCATGCGAAATGCATCTTTCCAGTGTCCCGCGCCTGCCATCGTTTTTGAAAGTGCTACAAAACCCTCACGTTTTGCTCACTTTTGACAAGGCGCACAATCCCCTGCGCCTGCCACGGAAAACGGCATCTGAACGTCCAAAAGTGCTCCGTACCCCTCTGTTTTTTCCACTTTTGACTTGGAAATGTGCTCCGCGCCACAACGGCGTGCGCTTTTTCGACATGTCAACTTTCAAAAGTGGTCCGAGCATGGCGTGTTTTGTACATTTTGACTTCGAAACGTGCTTCGCGCCACAACGGTGTGCACCTTTTCGACATCTCAACAAAAGTGGTCCGAACATGTTGTGTTTTGTGCATTTTGACTTCGAAATGTGCTTTGCGCCACAACAACTTCCAAAAGTGCTCCGACATATTGACTTGGAAATGTGCTTCGCGCCACAGCGGCGCGCACTTTTTTGACATCTCAGCTTCTAAAAGTGCTCCGCGGCTGAGGTGTTTTGTACATTTTGACTTGGAAATGTGCTTCGCGCCACAATGGCGTGCAACTTTTCATCCCTCATCTGGCCAGATGGCTCCGCACCCGCCGCTTTAGCGAGCCTACTTTTCCACCCTCCAGAGCCACAAATCACAGTGTTTCGCGACTTTCCTACCTTTTCGCGCACCTGGATCTTTTTTCTTCTGAGACTTTCTCTTCTTTGATCTTCTTTTTTTTCTCTTCTCTGACTCTTCCCATCTCTGCGTTTCATCTGCCCATACTGTCGGAAGTTTGACTTCTAAACATCCTTCGGCCGGGCTCCACCACGACTATTGCAACCTGGGTGGTTGTTTGTTTGAACTTTGATATGATTGAATATGGTTTAGTTTAATCTTGTACTTTTGGAACAAAAACACCAACTAGAAACTACAGATTGGAAATCGAGGAGTAGCTGCTTGACACAGGCCCTAACCCGCTCTTAGATTCTGGCGACTTGCAAGCTTTTGGCAGCCGGCCTTCTGAATGGGCTTGGTTGTTGCATGGTAGAAGCGCCTGACTAGTACTTAACAGGTGCAGTGATTTCAATTCTTGTTTCAGGTTTCAAGTTTCAAGAGTTTTTCGTGATTTCTAATCGACTCCCGCAACTGGATCCAGACAATGACCATGGATTGTTTCAACTTGCTTTCTGAAAGGATTGGACCTGGGAAAGGCTGTTTCATACCATTCCTGCTTGCAACAAACGATTCATTGTTTGGTTCCAGGTGGGAGTATTGGACGCTTGTGTGGGGGGCAAGCGCACAAGGGTGAAGCGGCTGCCGGCACGGCGGAAGACCGCTTTTGGATTTGCCAAGAGAGCGCACGAGTTTTTGCGCAAAAAATGAACGTCTCATGAGAATCTGATTCTATAGGATCTTCCGGATTTGCGATGATGACCCTTGGGAGCGTGTATTAAAATGTAATCTGCTAGGTAATTATTATGTACTCGTCACTTGTCACCCAGAGTATCATGCACATGCTTTGGGTACATGTTTGATTTGCCACTGCACTGACAGGGGATGTTTGATAGACCATCCCAAAACGGTAGGCTTATGGCAGCCAGGGTGAATCCCACATTAGCCAACACATTTTTACTAGGCTTGGAGTATCGGAATGTTTTGCACAAGACGGAAGCAGTTGGCCAAATTGCATGGCCATAAGACAGCTGGTAGACGAAGTGATCATTTACTTTCTTTTTTTTTGGGGGTTGCTATTACATGCTATTACTATTATACATGATTTTTTTTGGGGGAGGGTGGCTCAACCACCAACTAACATCAACTAACCACTAAGTTCGCTTTTTCAGATGTACCCCTTGGCCTGTGCCTGAAGCCTTTTTCAGTTCGACATTTCCCTCACGTGTTCTCGGGCATCCTATCGCCTACGCCATGGCGCCAGTTGCAGTGGTTGACAAGTCTTCAAGGCAGGTGATGCAGCACTTCGGTTTTTGTGTGTGCTAAAGATCCAAATTTGATTGGATGGATCCAATTTTGTGTCTTTTTTGGATTAGCGGTTGACGTCTTTTTGGGATGCTAAAAATCAACATGGACCGTGTCAGAACCTTGGGGATCACCATGCTCAACATGTTCAACCCCACCTGATGCCCATAATACTAACAGTGATCAGCTCTTTGTGGGCCTACTGGTCTAGAAATTGCCATCCGGGATGCCCTCGATATTATGGCCATGGGATTTTCCCAGAAATTTCAGAACCAGGTTGTCAAATTGTTGGTGATAAATTATCACTGATAATCACTGATAATAATGACATTTATTAATTTATTATGGTGTTATGTCAATTTTCATGTCATAAATGTCAATTTTTCCCAGTTTATTGCCATTAAAAAAAACAAAAAACATATGGTCCTGTATGATTGTTGGTCCGACAAATAGGCTGATGATCCCCACTTTCCGATTTTCAGGGGCCGCTCAACCACCAGTTTTATTGGTACATATTGGCTATGTACCCAATCAATCCCAATCATATTTTCTATTCTGTAAAGGTTCATCCCTGATTTTCTTCCTATGGTATTGCCAGTCCTTCATAGATCCATTCGATTCCTATGAAAATGGGGATGGATGTCGGTTGAAGATGGTATATCCCACCTAACATGTTCCCATTCTATTCCTATATGGAGGTTTCCTAAAATGGGAGGATCCCCAAATCATCCATTTTATTTTCGACTTATCCATCATAAACCATGCAGCTATAAGGGCACCCCCTTGACGTAGGAAACCTCCATATTTTCACCATCGCTAGGCCATCTTTATCTCAAGGGGAGGTCGAGGTGATTTTGAAGCAAGCAGGGATCGAGGAGCTGATGGAACTGAGCTGAGGGGGTGACGTCAAAAAGGAGACTTATGGATGAAGATAAAGATGTTCTATAATAAACTTCGTAAATACTTATACTTAATTTATATAATTATGTATATATATATATATACATGTATTAGCAACATTATATATATATAATCTGATTCTCGGTGGAAAGTGGTCAATGAATGTAAATGACTTTTTATTTTCGCGGTATATATATAATATGATATACACAATTTTTTGATACTATATTTAGTCTTATTTAGTTATGTTACAAGTCAATTTTGATGTAAATATGCTTGAGACTCGATCTGTATCGATCCAGTTTCTGCTGAAATCGCCGGGGAGCCGGGTAACTTCCAGGAGAACTCTCCGGATGCCTTTCACGGTCGTGGCGGTATCTCCATGGTGGTGGCAGTTGCAGTCTTCTCATCTCTGGCAACTGATCCCATGGGGCCCTGGGAGCCCTTACTGGTGCTTAGCAGGGAATGGATGGGAATGGGGGTTGCTGGGATGATTCTTGATCGTTATTGTGGATCATTCCCTCGTTCCCTACTAAGCACCAGTAAGAACCTGCTAGTAAACAAATCTTGCAACGAAAAATCATGTGTCCAAACGACTTTTGTATACTTTTGATTGGAGCATATGAGCATATGGTCCCCTCTCAAGAAAGACTGGTCGTGCAGGCGCATTAGGCGATTTTGCAAACGAAGAAGGACGATGCTTCTTTTGTGGGCCCTTTTTGCAACCAACCATCTGCGATTAGCGAATTTCTTTAATCGATTTTCTATCTACAACCTAGGTGGAATTGCAACATGCTGGCCCGACTTAGGCAGGTTTGCTGATGGGTTTGGATATCGGATACATCGCGGGAGTCAAGTGGCTCGCCTAACAACCTTACGGCTGCAAGCGCTAAGAATATGGATATATTGTGGATAGATAAACTTGAAAGGGGAAGTGACCTTAGGATAATTGCCTAGACAAACCATGACAAATCTGGAAGTGGCAAATTGCAGAGCCTGGAAGCGGAAATTTCTGACCCTCTGCTTTCTCCAAGAAGTGGTACGCTGCAGAAGTCCCACCGCCCTCTTCAGATACTTCGAGTAGAGTGGTCGAATGTTTCAACAGATTGGGGGTGGTTTCCATAAATGGAGGTACCTGAGGTACCCCAAAATGGATGGTTTATAATTGAACATCCTATTACAATGGAGGAAAGCCCCATTTCAACCAGATGTCATCCCTGATTTTCAGCTGAGGACCATGGATTCCTTCTCTGAGGGTTTGCTTCATGAGGAGAAGATCAAAGACACCCAGGAGCACCGAAAAAAAAAAACAAAGAAACATCCCTTTGGGCTGAGATATATCCAGATCATTCCAGATCCATCCAGATTACAGAATTGGTTCAAGGGCAAATCCGCAGGACGCCCCGATATTTTTCGGTCAAACTCACGGCTTCCTGTGCATATTTCCCATAAACCAAGCCAGGGCTTGAAAGACGAGCAGGTTCCAACAGGTATTTTTGGAATGAGGGAATAGGTCCATGAGCCATCAACCATGCAGTCATGTTGTCAATGGCTCTTAAACATACTTCGAGTATTTTCGAGTCAAGCGTGTTGTTGTAATCATGAAAAACAGATAAAAAAGGGCAGTGAATCCTTTCATCTCTTCTCTGCCCCCAAACAAGGGGCTACCACCTATAGATGGCCACCCCAAAACGGCCCTCAGCCATCTTGAATCAAACGAGATTCAGATCTCAGTTGCAGATCTCTTTTTACATGCAGCAAAGAAGCACATATCTCCTATTCAAACCTATTCAAGGCATTCCATATATTTTCTGTTGTTGGCGCATGTTTGTCCCAATTTTCACTGGTTCCCTGACTCGATCTTGGACTCAGCATGTTTCAACATGTTTCATCCCTAGAGTCCTAGAGTTCCCCTCGCCAATCTCTCTTTCTCAAAAAACAATGCCATGAACTTTTCCGATCCAAAAAAACGGTCCAAAAGACCTTTCTCCCCCGGACATGCAGAAGACATCCAGATCCAGGACAGTTTGATCACCATGATCTTCGGAGTGGGTGCCGCCGTGGCGGCCTTTCCACCGGTCATGGATTGCTGCGTCTCGAAGCTGGGCCGGAAGGGCGCCGTGATCTTCGGAGGCCTCGTCTTCTGCCTAGGGGCTGCACTGCAGGCTCTAGCGCCTCAGCCGAAGGATCCGAAGGATCCGAAGGTTGGAAACATGGGTCGAAAACTCGGAGATGGATTGGAGATGGCTAGAAAAGGGAAGAATGTGCAACATGTTCTGACCAATATCCCGGTTGGAAAACCATTTTTTATGCAGCTGTGAAGATTTCCCAATTGACAGAACATATGACAGTGCATGACTGTAACGCCACTGTTTCATACTGTTTCCACAGATGTTCAAGTCAACCAGCAGCTTAGTCTGTATATTTCCGAAACTGGTTGAACGAACTGTCTGTGAACCCCTGCTGTCTTTTTTGTTTCTATCACTGGGTTGGTAGCGGAAAATCTGCACAGATGGGCCAAATCATGGGGGGAGAGTCACATGCCCACCCCATGTTTTGCTAAGGCCATCAACATGGCAATGATGCTGTTGGGTCGCATCATCGCCGGCTTCTCAGTGGGTTTGCTGTCGGGCAACGCCCCGGTCTACACCAGCGAGATCGCACCCCCTGCGTTGCGCGGCGCGCTGGTCACGGGGTTCCAGTTCGCCATCACGGTATCTGTTCAGCACTGGGTGGACCTCATTGGGCATATATGGGTGACCCCTCCAGTGATGTTTGTTGGTTTATGAACCCATACCCATACTATATATATATATGTATATATAATATATATCTACCATAAGTAAGTCCTAGTCATTAGAGTTATAAACCAACTTAGCTGGCAGCACCTTGTATTTCTGGGCATTTAATAGTGAGATGCGATGAACCATGATTAAACATGTTTTTCTAGAATCACTGCAATGGCAGTGGTGAAATCTGGTGATGAAGTGGAATAGGTAGCAGGGCTTAGCAGGTAGCCTGCCAACTTGGAGTCTTCATCATCTTCATCATTTCAGTGTTTTACACCAAAGCACTCTCTGATACAAGGACTTTGCATCATTCAACATATATATATATATATATATGTACACATATCCAACTCACAAAAGATGGTCATTGGAGACGATTCCGAATGGGCCAGGTGCTGCACCAAAAAAAAAGGTAGGCGAAACCCTCCTTTCATCCTGGTACACATACAGGAAGTGCCTCCAAATTGTCAGTTTATAACCCCACCCGACTGTATAATATAGTACAATATATATATATATACGTATATATATATATATATATATATGTATATGAGTAACCGGCAAAATCATTGTAATCCTAATTCAGTCTGGCTTCGCCTTAGCCTTGCTGAGGGGTGTGCAAGACCTTCATTACCGCTAGGGGACGAACCTAATTTTCTCCGCCATTTTGAATTATAGAATTGAATTGTATACTAATATCCATCATAAATCCTACAGTAATAGCAATATAGAAACTTACCATTAAAAACCATGCATTTGATGTTTTTTTTCCGCGTGATACCCAGGTGGGTATCATGATCGCCTTTCTCCTAGCCTTGGTCTTGGAAGATGTCGAGAAACCCTATGGCGGATGGCGATGGGTCATCGCGGCACAGCAGATGGGCCGAGTTCAGAAGACCGGGTGAAGGGCGGAGTTCTTCGAAAGCCCCGCGTTTTTTGAATTGGGGAAAAACATTCCGAAAAATGGGTCGAGATTCAAAAATTGAGTCCCAGATGATGGTCATTTTATGTCATTTTCCCCAGATGATGATTGATGATTGTCATTTTCAAGTCCCAATTTTTTCGCCATGTGTGATAATAACCAAGAAAAATGACGGGAGATGGCACAGGTTGAGGTGCGTTGATGCCGAGCTTGGTGGGTTTGAACCACCAGCCAGATCTTCAATGAATTTGTAGCACTACGGTTGGACTACGGCTTGACTGGTGGTTGGAGCGGGATGGATGGCTTACCAGCTTCACTGTAGACCGAGTCCACCACTGCCTGCACTGATATATTTATAAGAGCAACTGCTTTTCTACTGATACTTTGTGCACAACAATAGTCTTCGGGAAATACTTTCTACCCCCCAAACTAGCTGCAAAATGAGGTGGGTTCGCATAAAAAACGAAGTAGATAAGATTGACATGCAGAAAAGGCAAGAACTCAGCGCAGCGTTTGAAAACCAGGTCATTCATGGAAAAGGGTCAGGGAATGGAAAATGAAGTAGGATCCGCCTTGCCTTGTGCAGTAACCTCAAATCACTTCCGTCGGTTCAACACATAATATATGTATCATTTGTCCTTTGAATGTGGCCTGCTGCGGATTTAATCAAGAGATATCAAGAGGAAGCACGGGTGATGCAGCAGATTTTCAAGGGTCCATTAGGAGCTCAATCTTTAGCGATGTTTTTTTTTACTTCTCCCCAAATCAACCATTCAAATCTCCAATCCTTTCTCGATTCCTATTGTATGCATATAGGTGACAACTATGTGTTCAGTATATAATGTGTATATGGAGGTTTCCTGAAATAGGGGTACCCCCATTCATGGAACCCCCTATATATAACTATATATATATATATATACATACATACATACATACATCCAAGCAAGGGATCTTTCACTGCCTTAAGCACTGTGACCCTTGCTTTACAATCGCTCCCCACTAATCGGGACAATTTGGAGTATCGTATTAATCTCATCCCCTATCTTGAAATATACCTCAAATACCCCCAAGGAGGGAACCGATCCCCAAATGACTAGTTGCTGTAGTTACTTGTGGCTATCTTGTGGCTTAAGGTTTTTTTCTTTTCCTCCCCCTCTATAAGTGATGCACCCTCAAAACCACAGATCCGATTCCTGAAGCACAATCCGATGATAGTTCTGAACCACAGATTCCATCTATAAGTGAGTTGTGGTTCTGAACCTCCCCATCTAGAACTGATGGTTGTATAAATATGTATAAACCATAATCTGAGTTCAAAACACATTTTTTTAAAAAAAACATATTAACATCATTAATGGATCTATTATGTCATAATCTGAGTTATAACCAGGTTCTGGTTCTAACCCTACTGATGGTATCTGCCATGGTTCAGATCCTAGGATCGCCCCTGGCATCATGCTGGTGATTGGCGGCATCTTCATGCCTGGCTCGCCTCGCTATTTGGTACAACAAGGCACCCGGACGGCCTGGGCCTGGGGCTAGGCGGGGGCTGGTGTTTCGTGGACCATCAAGAATTGGGACTTAACCATCAAGAAATGAGGGTTGAAGCATCAAAACATGTTGTTTTTTCATGATTTACATTGGTTTATTATATATAACCCCAAAAAGGGGATTTGAGATGATCTAACCATGAAACATGGTTTTCTTTTACCCACAGGTTTTAATGTGATCCAGGACAGGACCAACCAATCATGGAAAAAGTACAGGTTGCATCCCCAGGGGTTGTCCTACTAATCGATGAGTATATCCCAAAGTCCGGCAGTCTGGCACTGATGGAAAAATGAAGATGAACCACCATTCTCTTCATGGCAAAATGATTGGAAACACCATTGGATTTGGGAGTACCACAGTTTCAGATCTGGCTATGGATCAATACCTATTAATACCATTTTTAGGGGGATGAACATCCATTTACCAGCTATTTTGATGTTCACCAGGGGTACAAGGTTTTGACCCATCCCCATCTTACTTTTTTTTAAACGAAACTATGTCGTCTGGTCATTGCATCGTTTTACGAAACTCTCCCATGTAACTTGACCATAAAAAACCGGACACGATCCGAGGCTCTGTTGTGGCCCTAGAAAAATGACGGGTCGGATCTGATGGGAACAGCCATGGTTGCCCGATGTTGCCCAAAAAACAAGATGAAGCCCACAAACCCGAATGCTCACACGTATGTTAATGGCACAGATGGCAAAACACATGGATATGCAGTGACGCACAACACTTTTCTGCAATAGTTTATTTGAACAGTCTTGTTCATATTTCCCCTGTTACCAGTCTGCGGTGTGGAGTGGAAAGTGTAGAATGTGGAGTGTAAAGTGTGGAGTGTGGAGTGTAGCGTGTGGAGTGTCGAGTGTAGAGTGTGGAGTGAGGAGTGTAAAGTGCAAAGTGTGGAGTGTGAAGTGTAAAGTGAGGAGTGTGGAGTGTGGAGTGAGGAGTGTAAAGTGTAAAGTGTGAAGTGGAGTGTAAAGTGTAGAGTGTGGAGTGTAGAGTGGAAAGTGTAAAGAAAAGAGTGTAAAGTGTAGAGTGTGGAGTGTGAAGTGTAAAGTGTAGAGTGTGGAGTGTGGAGTGGGGACTGTAAAGTGTGGAGTGTGGAGTGTAAAGTGTAGAGTGTGGAGTGCGGAGTGGAAAGTGTAGAATGTGAAGTGTGGAGTGTGGAGTGTAAAGTGAGGAGTGTGGCGTGTGTAAAGTGTAGAGTGTGGAGTGTAAAGTGTGGAGTGTAAAGCGTGGCGTGTGGAGTGCGGAGTGTGGCGTGGAAAGTGTGGAGTGTAAAGTGAGGAAGGTGGAGTGTAGACTGTGGAGTGTGGAGTGAGGAGTGTAAAGTGTAAAGTGTAGAGTGTGGAGTGTGGAGTGAGGAGTGTGGAGTGTAGTGTGGAGTAAGGAATGTAAAGTGTGGAGTGTAAAGTGTGGAGTGTGGAGTGGAAAGTGTAGAGTGTGGAGTGTAAAGTGAGGAGTGTGGAGTCTAGAGTGTGGAGTGAGGAGTGTGGAGTGTAAAGTGTAAAGTGTGGCGTGTGGAGTATAAAGTGAGGAGTGTGGAGTGTAGTGTGGAGTAAGGAATGTAAAGTGTGGAGTGTAAAGTGTAAAGTGTGGAGTGTGGAGTGTAAAGTGTAGAGTGTGGAGTGGAAAGTGTAGAGTGCGGAGTGTAGAGTGTGGAGTGTAAAATGTAAAGTGTGGAGTGTAGAGTGTAAAGTGTAGAGTGTAAAGTGCATAGTGTGGAGTGTAGAGTGTAAAGTGTAGAGTGTGGAGTGAGGAGTGTAAAGTGTGAAGTGTGGAGTGTAAAGTGTGGAGTGCGGAGTGGAAAGTGTGGAGTGTGAAGTGTGGAGTGTAAAGTGAGGAAGGTGGAGTGTAAAGTGTGGAGTGTGGAGTGTAAAGTGTGGAGTGTAAAGTGTAAAGTGTAAATTGTGGAGTGTGGAGTGTAAAGTGTGGAGTGTGGAGTGGAAAGTGTAGAGTGTGGAGTGTGGAGTGTGGAGTGTAAAGTGAGGAGTGTGGAGTGTAGAGTGTGGAGTGAGGAGTGTGGACTGTAAAGTGTCAAGTGTGGAGTGTGGAGTGTAAAGTGTAGAGTGTGGAGTGTGGAGTGTGGAGTGGAAAGTGCAGTGTGGAGTGTAGAGTGTGGAGTGTAAAATGTAAAGTGTGGAGTGTAGAGTGCAAAGTGTGGAGTGTGGAGTGTAGAGTGCAAACTGTAGAGTGTAAAGTGTAGAGTGTGGAGTGTAGAATGTAAAGTGTAGAGTGTGGAGTGACGAGTGTAAAGTGTGGAGTTTGGAGTCTAAAGTGTGGAGTGGGGAGTGTGGAGTGTGGAGTGGAAAGTGTAGAGTGTGAAGTGTGGAGTGGAAAGTGTAGAGTGTGAAGTGTGGAGTGTAAAGTGAGGACTGTGGATTGTAAAGTGTGGAGTGTGGAGTGTGGAGTGATGAGTGTAGAGTGTAAAGTGTGGAGTGTGGAGTGTAAAGTGTGGAGTGTGGAGTGTGGAGTGGAAAGTGTAGAGTGTGGAGTGTGGAGTGTAAAGTGAGGAGTGTGGAGTGTAGAGTGTGGAGTGAGGAGTGAGGAGTGTGGAGTGTGTAAAGTGTAGAGTGTGGAGTGTAAAGTGTAGAGTGAGGAATGTGGAGTGTAAAGTGTGGAGTGTGGAGTGTAAAGTCTCAAGTGAGGAGTGAGGAGTGCAAAGTGCAAAGTGTAAAGTGTGGAGTGTAGAGTGTAGAGTGTGGAGTGAAAGTGTAAATTGTGGAGTGTGGAGTGTAGAGTGTAGAGTGTGGAGTGCGAAGCTTCCCCCATAGACACGGCGACGCCACAGGAAAACCAGAGACTCGAGACGAGACACGTGGGTGCAGAAAAACGAGCATTTCGTGCGAGACTTCCTCCAATTTTGACATTTTCGAGACGTTATCAAACAGGTTGGAATGTCACAAAGTGCCACGCCTGCCACGCAAAACGGCATGACAACCTGCTTGGAAACCTTGGAAAAGGAGAGGTTTTGCAGCTTCCCTCATAGACACGGCGACGCCACAGGAAAACCAGAGACTCGAGACGAGACACGTGGGTGCAGAAAAACGAGCATTTCGTGCGAGACTTCCTCCAATTTTGACATTTTCGACACGTTATCAAACAAGTTTGGAATGTTACAAAGTGCCACGCCTGCCATGCAAAACGACATGACAACTTGCTTGGACACATTCGAATAGGACAGGTTTTCCAGCTTCCCCCATAGACACGGCGACGCCACAGGAAAACCAGCGACTCGAGACAAGACACGTGGATGCAGAAAAACCAGCATTTCGTACGAGACTTCCGGCGGTTTTCACACTTGGCAACATGACAAAAGGACAAGTTTTGCAGCTTCCCCCATAGACACGGCGAGGCCACGGGGAACCAGAGACGCGAGACGAGACAGGTGGGAGCACCAAAACGAGCATTTCGTGCGAGACTTCCTCCAATTTTCACACTTTGTAGCTGCAAAATCGACGTTTTCCTACGAGTTTTCCTTAGAACCTGAAAATTTGCAACCTCAAAATCGATGTTTCGTGCGAGGCTTCCGTCAATTTTCAGCACATGTCAGAAAATGCCACGCCTGCCACGGAATTTGCACCTTGTCACCACTTGACGCAGCCCTGCCAATGCGATTTACAAAAAAAAGGCAACAGGACACGTCTAAAGTGCTGCGCCTGCCACGAAAAATGACGATGGACACGTCCAAAGTGCTGCGCCTGCCACGAAAACTGCAACACATCTTCTGAAAACGTCACAAAAGTATTGCGCCTGCCACGCAAAACGATTTTCAACACGTTGCAAAACACGTCTGAATGTCACGAAGTGCCACGCCTGCCACGCGAAACGAAGCAACAACACGTCTGAAACCTCCAAAAATGACCACCTCTGCAGAACTTCCCATAGGCACGGCCATACGGGGATCGCGCGGACGGTTGCGAACGGTTGCGGACGGTTGCGAACGGTTGCGAACGGTTGCGATCGTGAACGCAACGTCGAGCGAACACACCCTCAACCCCAGACCCCCAGAGTGAAACGGGAACCCTTGCTACGCATTCGGGAAAATGATGTACGCATCACCAGTGGTGCGTTTTCCATTTCTATGCTATGTGTATATATATATATATTTGTGTATGTATAATATATTATATACACTGTACATACATACATGCATTATACATATTATATATATATATGTATACACACACATATATATATACACATGGTTTTCTGGAGGGTATCTATCCTGACAATGGACAAAATCCTTTTGGGATCTTTTGGGGATCTTCCTATGTCCTGTTTGATTTGCAATACCCAAAGGGCAACTCCTTTGGAACATCTCAAGTTTAATGAAGAACACCTATATTCATGGTGAAATCCAATATTTTTCATGCTCAAAATCATGTTAAATCACATTGATTCAGAAGGATCTCCACAGCCCCAGCTGTGCAACGGCAAGCCTCAGGCAAGCCTCGGCAGGCGCTGAGGTGTTTGTTGTTGCTGCGCAGCGAGGCCGGGCAAATTTTCCGGGAAACACGTGGAAGAATGGCGAAAGAAATGGGAACATGGTGGGTCAAGTGAGAAATGGGAAACACATACATATATATATACATACATATATATATACATACATACATACATATATACATACATATATAATATACATATATATATACATATGTATATATATATGTAAACATAAATATACACATTTACATATATATATATACATGTATACACGATAAATGAAGTAGTTTCCATTTCGTCAACTCAATGCTTCTCAATGGGTCTTAAACTTCCACCCATGTTGAAACACACATCTATGGAGGATGCTTCTGGAGAAACCTGACCCTTGGTAAGCCTGACGCCTCCCTTTTCCTGGAGACACAACACCACATTTGTATGCATTTCTTTGGTACATGTTGATTTGTCAGAGCCCTCCCAGTTCTATATGATATCATTTCATATATCATATATCATATAATTTTATGTATATAGATGATAGA